AACTACGTCCAATAGTTTTCTTGCTGAGTCTTTAGGGTTTTCTAAGTATACTATCATGTCATCAGCATTCTCACTCTCCTTTTCTAAGTTGTTCATCTGAACATTTTTAATTGTTTTTGTCAGTTTGATCTCACAGGTAGTTCTTTAAAAGCGCACAGTGCTTAAGGCAAGCATTCTTATTAAGCTATTATTTAAGGAAGACTTTAGGGAATATTTTTGTTTTAAATATTATGTCAGGACAGTAGTTTCTGGGGTCTTTCCCGCCTCTTTGGATCCACAAAGTCTAAATTCCATATAAATTTGACATTCTATTCTGCATTGTTCCCCCTTGTTCAGAATGTTTCTGTAGATTCTCCCCCCCCCCAGCCACTTATCCCTGTGGTAACTTTTCTGCCATATCCTGCTTAAAGTCACAAAGGTCAGAAGGATCATGAGGCTCCGTTTTTATGGTCTGTATTCATACTGAAAATCAAGTGAGCTTTTGCCCTTCTCCTCCATGGGAGGTTCCTGTCCTCCCTGAGCTCACTTTAGGACACCTGCCCCACCCTGCACCCCTCTTGGAGAACATGGGGGGTGTTGGGCCCTCCCACTTATTCTACACGTCTCATGTCTCTTCACCATGCCAGACTAGAGTGAAGTTCAACAGGGTCTTCTTTCCCCGCTGATCCTGCCAAGCCCATTCCCTTGGCTGTGGGTTTGCTGGATAGTAGGTAGGGACAGTGGGAATCTCATTCATCCATTCATGCGCGTCACTAATTAGATGATGAGGCATTTGGCTACCTTAAGAGAGTCATAGTTACTCCCCCATTTACCTGCACTTCATTGAATTTCTTCATTTTGACATTCAGAGCACTGGACAGAAATCACATCACGTCAACACCCGCCATGTGCCATCGTGATCTGTAGATTCTTGACAGGAAGCCTTTGAGATTGCATTGCAGCTTCTTGCTACTAGGCCACCAGAACTCACTTTTTATTGGATGTTGTTGTATACCGTAGAGTTGGAACTGACCCATAGCTGACCCTCCCCCCCCACCCAGCGGGTTTTCAGAAGCAGTTAATTGCA